GTCTCGTAGTACTTTTGTTTTGGTGTTTTGGTGAATTTGACATTGGTACTTCTGTTTCTATTTGTAAATTGAAGTATTGTTCCGTTTATATTTCTTAAAATGACGGATGATGAGGATATGTCATCTTAATGCACAGGTTGTGATTGATGCTGGAATTGTTTCACCTCTTTTCCAACTGCTTCAAAATGATGTATTTGAGATACGAAAGGTAGCTGCTAGGGCTTTTTATGAAGTCACGACTGCGGGAACTAATGAGCAAATTAAGTAAATTCTTCAGAGCAATTGTCATATTTTCAGAGCTTATTGTACATTTAGGTTGAGGATTAATGCTGCATCTTGGTAGCAGGTTCTTGATGCACGAGGGTTGTATAAAGCCACTTTGCGATCTTCTAGTTAATCCCAACGAAGTGTATATCACTGGAATGTGCTTGGAAGGCCTTGGGAACATTCTGGAGGTTGGAGAAGCTGAGAAGAACCAAGGTAACACCGAAGATGTGAATGTCTTTGCCAAGATGATTGATGATGCTGGGGGTCTTCAGAAGATTAAGAACCTCCTGACTCATGACGACAGTGGAATATGCGAAATAGCCATGAGGATACTGGGAACTTATTGGCAGGAAGAGGATGATGAACAGCTGGTAATAAAGTGAAGTAAAAAATTAAATAAGTAGGCGTTGTGTTGATATTTTATATATCAATTAATAAAGATTTCATGTTCTATTAATAAAGAAAATATAATATTAAATTTATAAGTGTGATAATTTCACCACATTTACTTTAGCTACATAAGCAAAAAAAGAAGACACGAACATTCTCTTGGAGAACAAATTTGAAAGAAAAAGTGCAATTTATTGCATAATGAAATAGTTCTTGCAAGTAAGAAATTATATTTAATTGAGTATAGAAACTGTTACATAGACTCCATTACTAATTTCATCCAATTGAAACAGAGAAAGGAAGTGGAGGCTGAAATTATAGGTGGGTCGAATGACGACCAGCTACTCGAGTTCACAGAACTGGTTCACACTTTATTTCGTATAGGTAATCAATTAATTCACCTTTATTGAAGCCAATTAATTTGATATTAATCTTATAACTGTTTATGCTAGTTTCTCTTAGATATCTGATTCCATT